ATTTACAGGCCACTCAAAGCGCTTAAAGTTTTCCATGTATTTTATATAGGGAAAAATACAATTTAGTAGAAATGGTATAGAATTCTTCAAAATCAATCGGGAAACTATGCTTCTCTTCAGAGATTCCCAATAATAATACCCAATTGTTTATTTAACCATTTTTGTATAGTAACTATAGATCCGCCGAAAACCGCCAAAACCCCCTGAAAATACAGTGAGGGGACGAATAAAAAATCTTTAATATCAAAAAATTAAAAAAAATATATTGTTTACTATTATTGGAGGTCTCCTGAAAAGAACCACAGTTTTCCGAGCGAAAATTATTGACTTTCAAGAATTCTATACCATTTGTACGAAAAGTTGTCTATTTCCCATTTACTTTGCGTGACCTCTAAAAATATATATGGAACAATCCTATGGGGTGAGGGCATTAAAATTCCAACTTCATTTTTTTGGACCACCCTGATATTCATATGTACATACATGTCTCTAGCAAGGTGTTAAAAGTTGTGTTTTTGCAAAAATTAATTAATTTTATTGCGGATTCCGGTAGAATACCTGTCCAGTATAGATATTGGTTTGGCAAGCGGAAAATTTCCTAGAAATGGGCGTGGCAGTTTCAGGACTAATGTTAATAAAAAGAATATCTTATTGTGGATTTTGGCAGAATATTACTTTTTAGAAGCTACATTATATGAAGAAGGGGATAACACGTCCATGCACTTCAAATTGTGGCGTTTTTGCACTTCGCTTCACATTTGCATTTTATTAGAAGTTCAAAAACTTAATGACATTGTCTTACTAAGTAGTTTTGGAGATATGAGCGTTACAGTAAAGAGCTATTTTCGAAAATGTACTACATACATATGTATGTACATTTGTAAATCTTTCCTTTTGGTGTAGAAATATTCTTCAAATTCAAAAGTAAAATTTTGAAAAAATTTCTCTTTCGTCTTTTTTTTCAGTTAGGACTCGAGTTGCTAGGAAATTTAAGTATTTAAAAGCAACTTAAGTAAATACGACCGAAGCCAGAAGAAAGGTAATGAGAAAACTTATCCATATTCATCTTATTTTCAATTAAGCACAACAACTGTTTTTCTATTTTTCCTCATCAAATATATATGTATGTATGTATATAATGGAGGGTAGCAGCACTTATACTGTTTTTAAAGTTATAGTTGTTGTAACGACACAATAAACTGGTTATACCTTTGCTTAAGAGCAGCTATTAATTATTTAATTAAAAATGTTTGCTGAAACTAAAAAAAAAATTAAATTACACGCTTTTGTTTATTTGCTTCTAATTTCTATGAAAATCGTTCAGAGCAAATTACACCAATAAAGCTCGCTTCCAGTCCCACCCTTTCGCACCGTAGCCTAAACAAATAACTGAAAATGGAATATTTAAATACTATACAAATTTGGGTCTTAAATTAGTGAGACATTTTTAGTGCACGCGCTATGTTGTCCAAGATATTGACAGCTTTCTTCTAGAATACAATAACTGTATTCAATTTGGTAGCCTCGTAGATAAAAATAACTTATAGCACTGTATATGTGCTAATGTGTATCGCTATCATTTGTTTCTTTTAGTAATGGGCAAAATTGTATTTACCAAGTATTAAGTACTAAATACAAAAGTATTTACTTAAGAATTTCGATTTTACTAAATACCGATTATGCTGGTAGTATTTACTAATTTTCACAGTGCCAAATACTTGGTCTAAAATTATTTAGTTAACTTCAAATAACAAAACTCCGTGTAAAGAAGTACTTTGAGAATTTGGATTCACTAAATAACGAGAGAAAAAGTATTTAGAAACTTTTTCTTTGCTAAATACTGGATATACCTTAGCAAAAGACACTGCAGAAATCAGAAGCCGAGTAACTGCCTATAAAAATATAAACGGTAGTTAAAATTATACACGAATACCAACCTAATATATGGAAAATACTAAACTAAGCGGTATTCTAATTGCATACCACAAAAAACTTTGCCCTTATTTAATACAGCGAAATCGAGGAAAACCATGATGCACATACAATTCTTTTACTAAGGTACATACGGGATTTTCAAGGTTTCTAGAATTTTTTGAGTTCTTTGAACTATTTCGAGATTTTCGAAGCTTCTTCCAGATTTTAAAGATTCTAGGGGACTATTATATTGTTAAAAATAACGATAATACATATATCGCTAAATATACTAAAAAACAGATCTGCAGAAGAATCGATTAAAATCGACTTAAAGATCGATAAATATAACAAAAATTACGAAAAAGGTCCGAAAATCATGAAATAGTCCGGGTAATTGCCAAATAGCCTCAAAAGTCCCTAAATAGTCCCGGGAATTACGAAAGAGTCCCCAGAATTCGGAAATTGTTCCGTAAATTCCGAAAAAGTCTGGATTTAGTACCGGGAATCTGTTAAGTCCAGAAATAGTTCCCAAGTTGAAGTGTGGTGAGTTTAAGTGCGATGTGGTGAGAACGGGTATGATGAGTTAATGTTTGGTAAATTTAGGTGTGATAGGATTAGGTGTTGTAAATTTAGGTGAAGTGTGGTTAGTTTGTGTGTGGTGAGTAGATTTGAGGTGAGGTTCAATGAGTTGTAGAAAGGTCAGTTGAGGTGAGTCTAAGGTAAAGTGTTCATTTATTAAACTTCTCCAAAATCAAAAGTATTTGGTTTGAAAGTATTTAGCAATCGACTAAGTACCTTAGTATTCTGTAAAAGTATTTTGCATCTCCAAAGTACCTAGATGCTTTCGACCAGAGTATTTAGTGCCTGCTGAATACTTTAATTTTTTGTACTTTAGTATCTAGCAGCTCCTAAATACCTACGTATTTTTTACTGTTCAAATTGTAATAATAGCTCGTACACAAATGAAAAAAATTTCCTTTAACTTGCGAATACTTCTGGGAAAAGGTATCCAAGTTTATACTGAGGAAAAAAACGAAGTATCCCTCAAAATTTAAGGCGAAAATGTATACAATTGGATACATATGTAACTAAACGGCAACACTGATTCTAAGTGTTTGACTATTTAGTACCCAAACAAAATTTTTTACAAATACAGGTATGCTCATTACTGGTTTCTTTATATATTCTTACTTTTTTCACGCGATGCCGCGTTTTCCCGTTCAAAAAGTCGACTTCGCTGTCGAGTTACTAAGCAGCATGTTGCTTTGATGATGCGGCAGCTGCACGTAAATTCATTGTGTTTTTACGGAAAATTTCACGGATATCTTCTATGTACAAAAGCAATGACACGAACCAATTTTTTTTTACTGATTAATACGAGTAATACATTGGCGCATGTTCACGCATACTTTTCTTTTCATAAATAGTACCGTGAGTAAAACATACAAAAAATTTTGTCAAGAAATTAAATTTTTCCATCGACCATTATTTGTAACAGTTAGACGTGATGAAGTGTAAATACTTATCTACAAGGGTGTCAAATTTCATCTCGATATCCATGTAGAAGAACATTTTTTTCTCTTCAATTTTGTCATACCTTAAAAAAATATTGGCATCCCAATATAATACATTTTAAAAATCCGCGACTTGGCAAAGTTTTCATGGCACTCTTTACGTGGCCGCACTCATATACATATATGTTATATAAATTTCTTTTACTATTTATTTTAACTCACTCTTAATTTTATTTGCGCTGATTTTTCACAATTTTCATGCTTCTATCATTTCACTTTCCTTTGCTTGCAGCAATGGACTCTTGGCTCCTCTTGGTTACCACCGACCGCAATTATGGAAATTCGCATCAAACTAACCACAGCGAACAAACGAAGCGAATGCATAATTACTGAAATAAAAACAAAAGAGTCACTGCAAAAATTACAAGAAAAACAGCAAGTCAAGTAAAAGAAAAACATACAAAAAAATTTTCTAAAACATAAAACCCAAGAATGGAGCGAATATATACATAAGTAGAGAATACTTAGAAAAAAAGGAGCATCAAAGTGTAAGTTGAATGAAACTCAAAAGGTGGAATGTGTAGAAGAGTGGGGTAGAACGCTTCAGCAGTGTTGCGTTTGTGATTGTTATGAAATTTTTTCGCATGAGCAGCGGCAATTACAATACTCCAAGCGTACAAATATCAATAATTTGAATAGTTAAAATCAGTGACTTCGTAGATGGATTTTTTAAACAGCATGATGAGTTGAAAAAGCGATATAAACCACCAGTGTGCAAAGTAATCATATTTTAGTTTATCCGATATGATATGGATGTAGCCGTTCAATTCTTAATTTATAAGTTGCGTAAAAAAGTTTTTTGTAAAACTAAATTTTGGATGCCTTGGTAAAACATGGAAATTTCTAGGACTCAGAAAACCTCTGCATATACTAGTCTTCTAGTCTTCTGTAACTGAGTTTTTCTCAACAGTGCCCAAACAGGTTCTGGCATGGAAATCCCTTATACAGATAAGCTATTCCAGCGCTTAACCAAAAATTTTAATTCCGAAAATATGCTTGTAAAACAATTTTCTACGCCCAAAAAACCTTATGAATACTTTAGCGACATAATTAAAATTCTTATTTGTTTTTCATTTCAGGCTTGTATCAAAATATACGAGAGAATGTAGGATGAGCCTTGATCCTTTCGTAGAGTGCCAAAAAAAAAGCCCAAAGCGGCAAACAAGAGCTTTTCTAATTCGTCAGCCAAGTGCAGAAAAAGCAACGTAACTTAATGTGGGGAATTGCAAGCAGAGCTGTGATGGACGCGTATAACAACGCACCAATGCTTTCCACAAAACGCAGAACCACCCTAACTGCATTGACGTGAATGCAATTTCAATGCACCAAGGCAAAAACTTCCGTAAACGCCACACTGCTGGCCAACATATTTTACAAATATTTTCACAAAAGTACAAAGCTACAATTACATATAAAGCGGGCAAACAACAATAACTATAAATTATAAACGCACATAAAAGTACATACATACATAGCTATACTGAAGCGCCAATCGTCGGTGTTGTCGCCTAAATGAAGTTAACAATCTGTCAAATTGGTAAATTATTTCTGCTGCTGACAGCCTTCTTCCTACTCCTGCTGGGTGTGCATTGTACACTGGCGGGCTTTGAGTCCACCACACAGAGAGTTGCCAACGTAAAACGAGGTGCATTGGATGCTGCTACTGCTGGTGAATTGACAACAACGAGTGCAAAAATAACTGTAACAACAACAGCAACGACAAAAACGAAACAAATCACTACAGCCATTAATGCAAGTGCTGTCAGAGCAGTGATAGTTGACAACAATAATAATAATAATAATAATAATAATAGCAAGAAAAATAATAGTGCAGGCGACTGTAAGGTAGAAGCTGGCGTGAAGGCTGAACAGCTATCCGAAGTACGAGTACAACAAAATTTAATTTCAAAGGTAAATATTGTAGAAAACAAACCAAAAATCAAAGAAACAACCCAGACAACTGTGGGAAAACAGATAGGACAAGTGACAACAGCTCAACGCACGACTGGGGCGGCCACATTAACAAGCCCGTTGGGATCGACGGCGTTGGAGCACGATTTCACAAAAATAAAGGGTGTGCAAAAACAGCAAAACGAAAGCAAAATAAACCATAAAGCTTATAGAACAACAACAGTGGAAGTGGAGAAGTCAGCGGAAATCGGGAAGCCACTGACGCTGGCAGTGGCAACAGCAGCAGCAGCAGCATCAACAGCAGAAATACGAAGAGGAAAGGATGGGCAGTTGTCAACAGTTGGACAACATGTTGCGGAAACTGCGAAAGACAGACCACAACGACAACAACATTTGCTCGCAAAACAAAAGCAACAGCAAGGACAACTGCAAACGTTGCCAGACAATCAGCAGCAAAGTCAACAGCAACAAGTGCAGCAACAACAACATCAAAAAGTCACTGCACGGCGACCAACAGAGCAAGTTGGCACAAAACTGCGGCCAACAATAGCAAGACAAACAACAACACCGTCAACTTACTCAACGGCCATGTCTGCCAAAACAACTACTGGCATTCACTCATCCAGCCAAACGAGTAAAATTAAAAAGTTTCCAACCAAAGTGTCAAAGCAGCAGCAACAACAGCAACGCCAAAAATACCAACAAAACCCAGCAAATGGGAAGACTCAACCGAAAGACAACCGAAACCAAAGCAAACAAAAGCGACGTGAAGCGCAACTGAGGCAGCAGCAACAGCAGCAGCGCCAACAACGGGCGAATGGCGCAGAAAAACAACAGCTGTTCAATCAGAAACAACTACTGACACAACAGCAACAACTAAAAGAGGCTGCTGAGCTGCAACTAGTAGCAAGAGAGCAATTGCAACAGGATGCACAGCACGTGCCACAACAGCAACCGCAGCAAAATCAGCAGCAGTCGCTGCCAAGACCCGCACACGCCACCCATGGCCGCCAGCATGTAGGCGTTTTAATTCCGTCCCGCATACTGGACGTGTTGCAAGTGCAACAGGGTTTTCACAATTTTCTGGATTTCTTTCACGTCAATCTACAAAATGTCAGCGTCGATTTTATACGTGACGATGGTGAGTAAATACTACTGAGCGTTGCGCCAGGCATCGCTTTCACTGCAATAAATATAAATATGTACATACAATATAAAAAGTTCCTTGACAACACTTACTTTTATGTTCATATTTATCTACATACATATCACTATCGACATATTTGCAACTCAGTATTGCAAGTTGGTGAAACGAGTCGACGAGGCGCAATGCAAAGCAATGCAGGTTATATTCACTTATGTGTGTACGGGCATGTGTAAGTGTACTTAGGTGTGTCAAAATGTAGTAGCACAGGAATTACATACATACTTATATTTACATACATTAGGGTGCATCACATTTCATAAAAAAGAATCGATACACATTTATAATAATAAGAAATTTAAATTCAATTAAAAATATATATATGTATTTCTTTTTAGAACAATAAAATCTAAAAATTTGATTAGAAAAAAGCGTAAGTCAAAAAAGAAGAAAATAGTACTTAAAACTGAAAAATAATAAAAAATATTTATAATTAAAAAAAAAATCTTAATTAAAAAAAAGGAATAAATTAATTAAAAAGAGACAAAAAATAAAATAAGATCCTAAAAATAAAATGAAATAAAAAATTTAATGAAATTGAAAAATATACATATCTTTTTTTTTAATAGAATCCAAAAAGTAAAAGGATATTAAATCAAAAAAGAAAAAAATCTAATTTAAAAAAAGAAAAAAAAAAATCCAGCACTTAAACTCGGATCTCTGTTATTACACGTTTGTGCTCTGCTCACTCGACCATTGCGACTGTTGAAGCGACGCGAGCTAAATGATATACAAGTGCTTTCTCTCAAAATAAATTTTCACCAATTTTGGTGAATGAGGGCTTTTTTTCTAAGATTTTTGGGCTAGAATAACAAAAAACTTTCGAACTATCTTGCTATCTGCCTTTTTTATTTGTCTTACCAAAGACTTTTTACTATCTTAGCCAGAAATTCCCTGTAAATATACCTTGCTGTCCTGCACGTGAGTTCCGCTGATCATCTTGTAATTGCCTGTTGGATAAAATTATTCACCAGACAACTTGTAGCTCCCTTGCTTGCTGTAAGTTCAGCTGGAAAAATGCTGCAGGTATCTGGCAGACGAAAACTAAGGCCAAGTGTGAGTTATTGCGAGTATAGCCCATTTCCCACCTTCAGTTACAACTTGGACCCATCAGTGCACCCCTTTAGGGGATCCTTGTTTGGAAATTATTCCTCAGTCCAGTGGACGGGTATGTGTGGTCTAGGCGAATGATGACTTCTGAAATACCTCCCAGAGTTTTCGAATCTCATATCACTCCACTTGATAAATGCATTTATTCTAATAGCAATACAATATGCCTGTAGTTTACCATATAAATAGGTCCACCGGTGAAAGGGCTTTAGTCGCGTAAAGCACATTGGACCGGGTCGCATAGTATTTGGAGGTGCTTACCAACTGCCGTCAGGCCAAGATCATCATCGTAAGCGATGACCTGAAAACCGGTACCCTGCAACCGTAACAGCAGATCCGCCAAAATAATACAGAAAATTATTAACATTTAAAAAGTTTAAGAGTTTTATCAACAGATTTAGTTTTTAAATCAGTCCAGCTCACGTAAATCTCAATATTTTCCGAAATATTTTGGCGAAAGTTTTAAAATGCAAGATATTGTATAATTCGGTGGGAAAACCGCACATCTTTTAGGTGAGCCACGCTAATGTATGTACATATGAACACCTGTGCGCGGCTATTTACATAAATACCTGCCGCAGATGAGCACAACCCGGAATATTTTATGCAGAATAAACGGTACTTTTAAAATATAGCGTCGGCATGTGTGACATAAATTTTGGCGTAAATCCGTAACAGTCACGTTATAATACCACATTCACTTAAATATGCATATCGGAATATTTAATAGTATTTTGGGCTCATGTAAAGAAAAACGCAATAATCTCTTAACACCTGAATATGAACCAATTAAAAGGCTGTCTTCAGCTCTCAAGAAAAACGGAAAATTCATATAAAATTACGCAAAAGAAATGGAAAAGAAGTTTTGTTATATCAAAATTACTTTAATCGGTAGGCAGCTCTCAAGAAAAAAATATATACATACATACTTACACATATTCCTGCAAGAAAATTTACAGCAACGGCAACGCACTTTTTCAAACAACAGAAATAGTGAAAAATATTTCTCGCAATTTTTCTTGAGAACTGCAGACAGGCCTTAAGGTAGAATATTTTTTATATGTTTTGTTACCTTTTGGGAACCAAAATACTATTTTTTTTTATTTAAACGATTTGCATAATCTTTGATTTATTGAATTTGCCCCCGTTCCGATTAGCAGTAACGAGTTACACAAAATTGGTTGATACTGAGGCGGTAAGGGGTTTCGCCGAGTCAGCTAATATTATCTTCATTATTTTAAGGAGAGAAAAGTGAATCTTTAAAAAGAATAATATCATGCTAAATTGTATATTCTTATTAAATTCGTACGCACTTTTTTATATAAATTGCAAATAAATTGAAATGCATGAAATGTAAAGACAATTTGCGCACAACAAATTTGATTTTCATTACTTTCTCCTAGATATGTAGATGTAGATACAAGCGCATATCTAGCAGCGTATAGGACGTGGGACTGCAACAGCTACATACACACATACATATACTATGCATGTATTGGGGTGTTCGATGATGCGCCTTTTTTTCAAACCCGGTTTTCGAGCTATTGAAAAATACCGGTTGCCCATTTTCAAATTAAGAAAAACCTGGACTGTTATAATTGCAGTTAAGCCTTTGGAAAAACTCGATCATGTAGAACTGAAATCTCATCAACATTCGCTGAACCAGATCGACCATACAAATATAGTCCATTATAGACAAGCCATTTATCGAGAATCTATCGGCAACTCTCCACCCCTTGAATTCCATTATTGGCGACGAACAGCTCGAGTTGCTTCGTGATACGCTCGCGATACTTTGATATTGTAGCAGATTCAAATGTTCAGTCCAATTGGAATAAAATGCCTTGACGACATTAACCACCTCACATCAGGTGAAGCCTGGTGACACTACATCGTAATGAAGACAAAATGTAATCGATTCTCAGATTCAGAGTAGAGGAGCCATTTTTAAATCGATTAAATCGATGATCGATTAATCGAGTTCTTCCGATTCGATTTATTGTAGATTTTTTAGTTCCTGTTCGATCCGTGAATCGATTCAAAAAATTCGTGAATCATATTTGTGTACGGTTTACCTTAGAAAATCTATAAAATTTTTAAAAAATTTGAATTGGTGGCTGGTACAAAAAGCTAATGGGGCTTAACACCTCCAACCCTTCTAACTGGAGAGAGCAAAGACCAAAGAATTCAATAACCTTGCTCTACTTCTCCTCCGACTACTGAGCTCCTCAGGCTAATACTACAACAAAAACTTCAAAAGTCGGAATTCCAAAATTAATGGTGGTTTCAGAAAAAATTAGAGTACGTATGCTTTTTAGCATCAAATCTTTTCTAAAAGGGTTAATATAGAGTTAGAGAAAATAAAAAAAAACTAAAAAGCGTCCGTATTGCAAAAAAAATTAAACATAATTTTTTTTCTCATTTGTGAAAAAAAAGATGAAATCAAAAAAAATTTAAGCGTTTCCTTAAACAGGGTTAAAGGTGTTTTTTCATTCATTACGTTCATAATAATAGCCAAAAAATAGTATGGTTAGATTGCCGTGTTGTATTTTTTTGTAAAAATTAAGTAAAAGCAGCTATTTGACCAAATATATGAATTGATCTTGGGAGATCGATTTATTTTTTGCCGATTTGTTGCAGTATAGATTATTTTTATTTCGATGCGAATCGGCTCAAAAATCGTTTTTTTTTTTCTTCGATCTGGCATCTCTAATTTACAAAGCTACTACAACAAAAAAACTATGAAAGATTCACGTTCGATTTCTTGTTTTTATATAATTTATCGCAGTGCAAAGTTTTACAGTATTCAGATATACGTAAATTTAATCAAAATTGACTATGAAGTTTCTGTTTCAACAAATAAAAGTCTTTAGAATCAAGCATACAATTAAACAGTGATGAAACCCGGTTTATTAGGTTGTCAAAATTTGCTTTAATAGCTATGCAAAAAATCCAGATTTCAAAAAACCGGCTAAAAATGTTCAAAAACCCGGTTTAACCTGTTTGGGAAAACTAAGTCAATCACCCTACTATGTAGACTAGCTAGACAATGCGCAACACCAGCACAACATTTGGTGCCAAGAAACTATTTCACATTCACAACTACAACTCCGCCACACAGTAGACGTGTGGACCATTCTTGAGTGCACATGTGGCAGATACGACCAGCACAGCATGGCACAGCAGTAGGTAAAAGTTTTTCTCAAGAAACACTTTCTGTTTTGCATTTCCTCAAGTGTGGCTTTTAACACACACACACACACAAACACACCATCGCCACACGTGTGTGCAAATATGA